AAGATGCAGTGTTTCATCACATCTGGCCTTCCTGCAGCTTCTGTCACTAAGTGTAGCAGTGATTCTGAGCAGGTTACATAATAAAACCCTCCTGACATGAACCCAGTCAGCGCTCTGTGAAATATTCATGAACCTGCCGTCTGCTGCTGTCCTCAATCTGAAGTATCTCTATTAAAAATGTACAGAGATGTTGCCTGTTTCTCTTGATAACAACAAGTCACAATGAAGGTTTCTTTATGAGCACGTTTTCTCTGATATATTTTAATAAAACCTGGATCTAATGACGCCGTCAGAGAGTACAACTCACTTGGAGGAGACGGAAGTACCCCGGCGTCAGTCTTCCCAGTCTGATGATCATTTCTGCTGCCGGAGCTTCTAGGATGAGTCGACAAACTTCCTGCAGGACAGAAAAACGACAGTTTACACTTCACCGTGTAGAAAATATGTTTTTATTTCCATTCGTCATGTTGTGACAAAGTTGTGAATAACTGAGCTCCTTCGTACGTCCACATAATGATGCAAACTGCACTTTATTACTTGTTTTTGTGATAATGTGAGATTTTTAAGCCACATTTTAATTAAATACATCCGAGGAAAAGCTACAAATATGCAAGAATTCAAATATTTGCTATTCATCCTCCTCAAAGCAGCTACTTTTAACCTTCTCTTGAGCTTTTTTTCATTATAAACCACCTAAAATTTAATTCATATACAATTAAACACCTAAAAGATTTTGACATATTAACATTATTCCACCTGCTTTCACAAACAAACATCAATTATGTCGTTTCTAACATGATTCTGGGACAAATTTGGCAAGAAAAGAGTCTCATTCTTACCAACATGAAGTTTTATAATAACATTTAACTACATTTAAAGGTTAAAATAAAATAAAAGTCCTCATGTTTAGTATTTTTAGGCATCCTAATATGTAAGAAATACAATAATGGGACAACACAGCAAGAAAAAAACCCTCATTCTTACCAGGTGAAGTCTTTAATTTATATTTAACTGCATTTTAAAGTTAAAGGAGAACAAACACTTAACTTCAGGTCTCCTAGTTTAGTACTTCTAAGCAGCATACAGACTAAACATGTAATAAATGGTTTAAAGCACTCTCTACTGGAGTTATAAGCAGATATTTATAATATTTATTGATGTATTTGGTTGTATTTAAAGGATGATAAAGTGGGACAAAACAGAGTTATAATAATATAAAACACGCCTTTGTAGAAGAAGTTAGAACTTTAACACTGCATCTTAAGAAACACAATAAATGTACTTGTGTCTGTTTATAACTACATCATATAGAATTATAAACCAGTAATTAAGTGTTTCCTGAAGGTAAACATCTCCAGTCATTATAAGCAACCTAAAATGTCATTTAAAACACAATTCAACACCTGAACCTTGTCGGCAATTTAAGAGTATTCCATCTGAAACACACATCAGTTATGTAGTTTCTAACAAAGTTCTAAGGAAACCTTCGCAGAGAAAAAGGTTTTATAATAATATTTAACTATATTTAAAGGTTAAAATAAAATAAAATCCCCCTTATTCTGTAATTCTAAGCAGCATACAGTCTAAATATGTAATAAATGGTTTGTAACACACAGATGTATGATGCTAATTGATGTATTTGGAAAATAATTGACAAAGTGGAGGAGAAATTATAACTTTGTCAAGCACAGTTCATTAATAAACACTTTAAATGTCCTCATATCTGTTTAAAACTACATTACAGACTGTTCTAAACGATTTATTTAGCGTTACCTGAAGATAAGCATCACCAGTTTATAATAAGCGGTCTAAAATTTAATTTAAAATGCACTAAAACACAGCAAAAGTAGGATGAGTTACAATTTTATCAAATACTGCACATTAATAAACATTTCAATGTCAAATGTTTCAATTTAAAACTACATTATAGAGCGCTATAAACCATTTATTAAGTGTTTCCTGAAGGTAAGACTTTCTACAATATCACCAGTGTATAATAAGCTGCCTAAACAAAAGCAAGATAAGGTATAATTTTACCAAACGCTGTACATTATTGAACAGTTAGATGTCCTCGTATCTGTTTAAAACTACATTACAGACTGTTATAAACTATTTCCTGAGGGTAAAACATCACCAGATAAAACTTCCTCACAGTTTGCAGGTTCCTGGTTGTCCAACGTCCAGCCGGGACCCAAGCACAGCTTCATGGACGCCTGCAGCTCCAGCGGACGCTCCGGCAGCATGTGAAGCCTCTGAACAAACAGCAGCACTGAGGAGGCTCCTGTGTGTCTCTTTTGTACGGACTGAACGTCAACGGTGCGACATCACACACACACAAAGCTGCATGAAAAGCCTGTCAGGGACGATCAGCAGTGAAACGCAGGAGAAGAGGCTCTGCTGCATGTTGCACGCTTCAAGGAACATGTGTGTTAACGCGCTGCAGTGACTTATGTAACCCAAAAAAACGCCAAAGAGAAAACAGTTTTTAGGCCTAAACTGACCTTCTAGGGCCAAAACAAACTGCCCGATGCGGCCTTTAATGAGAGCGCTAACCTTCACTGGACACACTTTGACAGCAGAGTTTTGTGTTTTAAGGTTACATAAGGCCTCTGTTTCCATGATGCACCATCGATTGTTCAGGGTTTCACAGTTCACGCTGCTCCAGAGGTTACATAAAGGCAGCACAATGGAGGAAAGAGTCATGAAACATGGAGGTTTAGTCAGTTTAGGTGCCGAAGGAAGTCGGACTCACCTCATTTACAGGAGCTCGTTATGAACACAAAGCATGAAGCAAAGACTCTGAGTCTGGAGTCACTGGAAACATGTTTTACTGTCAGAAACATTCTCTGTGTTTTAACGCTTCAGTCTTATATTTCTTGCAGACTTCACTTTTATTCTAATGCCCAAGAAACCTGTAAACAAACCAACCATAGAGAGCACTTTGCGTAACTTTTAAAGGCTTTTCACTGGTCTCCTGTTCATTTATCTGAAATGTTGGTTAGATGTGAGTCCTTCTAGATCCCTGAGATCCTCTAAATCTGTTTTATTATTTAATGTTCCCCACAATAGAACCAAGAGAACATTAGATCCAGGAGATATTTTATAAACAAAAGCCTAAAAATGTTATTTTTTAACTATGCATTTATGTAGTTTTATGTAATTTACCAGTATGACACCTCCTATTTCTTACTTTGATTACGTAGTTTTATATTAGTGTTATGTTTTATTACTTTTATTTTTTATTTTGCACTCTTGTTTTTTCATGTAAAGCCCATAGAGTTGCACTTTACAAATAAAGTTATTATTATTTAATGATTTCCAATGTGAGTGCAGCAACAGTTTGTTAATTCCCTCATCAGTTTTATTTCATTAGCTCAACACCCTGAATTCATTTTTTATTAGGTTATATCTTATATTTTTCTTTATTTTACTGTGTTTGTATCGAGATTTGTTGTTTTACGTTTTATGTTTAAACACTTTGCTTCGACTCCTGTTGTCGTAAATGTGGTTTATAAATAAATGTGACTTTGAATTCTGTGTGAAAAATGCTTTTCTTTAATATGCACGAACTTTAACACGTTACGTCTCTGAAACAAGACACATTTGACCACAAAGACAAACTGGTTTACTACAACTGTGTCATGCTGTGGAGACAAACGCTGCATCTGTTTACATCTTCATGTTGTTGGGATTCGTCTCCTCTTTTGGGTGAAGATTTGGTTTAAACTTAAAGATGTACGTTAAGACAAGTAGTGGTTTGGTTTGGTCTCCAGTGAATGAATGTGCTTGATGTGATAGAAACTGTGTGTGTCTGTAAGTTTTTGTTGGAGGACGAGACAACACTGTGCTGATTGTGCACATCGAGTGACCTCACGTCTGCAAATTCACTCGATGTCTACGGACACGAGACGAGAGCTGCAGACTAGAAAAATAAACCCGTCACTGTGCTTTTAGGTTTCGCCTGTTGTGGATGATCAGTGCATTAAACATATAAATACAGGAACAGTGATAACATAAAGGGCTTGTGTTCAGCGCGTCCTTCATCAGTCTCTGACAGACGCCGTGCTGAAGTACTCCGGGTCTCGAGTCGTCGAGTCGGTTTTGTTCTGACCTGCAGACCTTATTGAAGTCCTGCCGAGTGTCACCTTCACTCCTGCGGGTCCCTGGGCGTCGGTTCGCTCCAGCGCCACGATGTGACCGACGAAATGCTGAAAACGCACAAACAGAATACAAGAAGTCAGCGGTGAGGAGGTTCCTGTCGTCCTGTAACGCTGTTTGTCACAACAATGTAGTCAGCTGCAATGAGTAACAACCTGTTCTTTTACTAATATAAGAGTGAATCCTGTTCTTACACTGTGCAACTTTATTTTTATTATTTTTTATTTTTGTAATGATTTTGTGCTTGTTCGTTGTGTCCTGTGAATCTGAGGAGCTGCTGAACTGCCTTTTGTTGTGACAAAGAAGATCTATCTATTTGCTGACCAGACTGCAGGTTTTCATCTAATGTGGCTGAATTGTGATGCATAAATAAATGAATTCAGTTGTGTTTAGTTGTGAACCTCTGCAGGATGAGCAGCAGCGTCGTCGTCGTCCTCTGGTTTGGGTTTGGATGATTCAATGTCCTTCTGCCTCTGTGCTTTTACTTCCTGCATACAAACACATGACAAACTGGGTTAAAAACAAAGATATGCAGGTTGAACCTTTGTAGGATTTGTGGATTTTAATGTAAACGTATAAAACCTTCAGGATCTCGTAGTTTGAAGTCTTGGCGACGTAATTGTCCCGAGACTTGGCTAAAAGCTCCCGCTGCTTCCAGTGAGACTTTATCTGGATAAAAACACACAAAAACCTAGTCAGAGCTCATTTTATGGAAACATAAATGCTGCTGAGAAGATGGCACAGAAAAATACTCTCAGTCCTGATGTACAGAAATAAATTTTTACTAGAAAAGTATCAGAAACTTCACTTGTTTTGATGAACAGCGAGTAGAAAATCTGCAGCTATTTGAATTTTCAACAACAAAATGCTTTGAGAGACTCAAAAATTGATGTAGTTTGTGCATTCTTTTACATTTCTTACAGTAATTTTAATAAAGAATTTGGTGTATGTGGTTTGTTTGCTGTCAGAGAATAACCTCTTCACTGATTCTGACCTCGTTGCTGTTTTTCTGCTCTTTCACTCTCGGTACCTCTGTATACATGAGCTGCTCCTCGCTGACGTCCTCCTGCCGCTGACGCTCCACGATGCTGCTTTGTTCGGTCGCGATCCTCCTCGCCGTGTCTTCTGTAATCCTGCAGATGGCGTTCAGAGCCTCCTGGTCGGGAGTGATGGGCCTCACGCCCTCCAAACTCAGCTCCCTGCTGATCTCATCCCAAACCTCCCCGACCTGCAGCACCGAGACGGACGAGAACCAGCGTTCATTCTGTTCCTGCATCATCTCAAGTCACTCTGTAATGAAACAACACTTTAAAGGATAATTTCTGTTTTTTTTGCTCTTCAGAAAGCCCGTCCTGTAATACTGTCAGTGTTGAAGTATTCTGAAGGTTAACTGAGGTTAATCTGAGCCAAACAAACCAGGAGAGTGAATCCCTGAAGTATTAGATTTCCCCTTTGAGTGCATCTGTTGAGCTACAGAGGAAGCATCGTGACATAAACAGAAATGTTGCACTAGAAAGACTTTAGAAGATGTCCACCTGATTTGACTAATATCTGCAGCTGAAGAACTGGGCTTTTACATATTTTTCACATTTTATTGGAAGTACATCAGGAAGTCATTTTAATAGGGAACAACAGGTAAACACAGGTGTTACTAATCACCATAATTAAGACTCTGCACCGAAACACAACAGAGTTCTGATGAATATGATCAGTAACACCTGTGTTTACCTGGCTTCTCTTGTCTAAATTGTAGTTCTGTGAATCAAGCAGCAACCTCCAGACCTGAAAAATGAAGGAAACATGGAAGGAAAACAAAACAACCCGCAGTTCCTTGAATGTCCACCTGAGGCTGGATCCAAACGTGAGTCAATCCCCACAGACCTCCATGTTAAAAGGACCAGATTTACAGAAGAAATAAACAAGTTTACAGCCTGGTACCAGGAACAGTTTTGGTCTCTATTGCTAATGTCCCTGTTTGTGACACTGGCGTTGCCCATTATTGTGGTTGTTGTCTCTCTGTGGGTCATATTGCACAAGCTGTCCAATAAAGTAAAGTTAAATGAATCATTTCAAATGTTTGTTTTCAGTCTGGCCCAAAGGAAACACAGAAATTAGCCTCCTGCATCTGACATTTTATTGCATCAGCGATCTCCATCCAGGGACACTTAGCAGCTGATCTAATCACCCGACATATTTATTGTGCACACCGGTTTGTTTACTAGTGTGTGATGCCAGGATGAAACAAAACAGAATTATCCTTTACAAGTAAAGCACATGGAGAAGTGTAATATGATTACAGCTTTTAAACTATTGCGATGGTGATCCTGATAAAGTTTGGTTCCGTTAAATATTCAGAGGGATAGCAGTTTGCCTTGTATTACACATCTACCACAGTGTCACACTGGCAGAATATCATCAACTTGTATTTTAAAAACTTCACATCCAGCCCTGAAATTGTCTTTTCTGTCATTTTCACCTTCAAGTCCAGATACCGCCTGACGATGCTCAGAGTCACGTAGTCTTTGGTCGACAATCCAGGAAGCTCCTGAAACCCTGAGAGTAGAAAATTATGATTTATTCCCAAATCTGCTTCAAACAGCCTTTTATTCAATCAGTTAATCGATGAATCAGACTTTATTGCACTTTTCATACAAAAAATGTATAAATACATGGTAAAACAAATAAACAAAATTATTATTATTATTATTATTATTAATAATAATAATAATAATAATAATAATAACAAAGATATGAAGAAGAAGAAAAAGAAAGAAAGAAAGAAAGAAAGAAAGAAAGAAAGAAAGAAAAAAGCAGTTTAATAAAGCAGGTCTTGAGTTTGCTTTTAATTCCAGTAAGCATAGTTTTACCTGAGAGTGATGTGAATGCTTTGATTAAACAATCATCCTAAGATATGAGTAAATGTCATCTCTGGTCACACCATTACAAGCTGTCAGGATATCAGCTATTTCCCAAATTCACATAATCATGATAGGAATTACTGGATTTTTATAGTCTCACAAATGTGGTAGTAATTGTCATAAATAGGCCAAAATGAGGTCAAAGTTATAAATAACATACCAGATTTTTAAACATATTTATAATTATTTAATCATACTGTATCAGCTGCAGGGGCTGAAAACGGCTTTCAGGAGAAGCTACAAAGAAGTTTTGGTAATCAGAAGGACGCTAAAAGACTCTTTTAAATGAAGCGTTCCATTTGTTGAGTGGCTGTCGTACCAAGTTTGCAGAAGATGGAGTAAATCTTTGCGCGCAGGTTCTCTGAAATCTCCAGAACTGCTGCACTGGACATGTGAGTGTGAAGCGACGGGTGGATGTCGTGCTGCTGGGAGTGGCGGAGGACAGGCTGCTGCGGATCTGAATGATGAAACAAACAAAACACAGAGATGTGAGATTAGAAAATATGCTGTGCAAAATATAAGCAGCTTCAAAACGTTTGAATTTACAGAACAAGCTGAAACATGTCATTATATAACGGCTGCTCGTACTGTAAGTTGCTCTGGTTAGATATGTCTGCCAATAACTGTAAAGGAAAATGTACATCGAAGCAGTGAAATCTCCTCCTTTGCTCGCTGGTCTGAGCTTGAAGCTGCAGACAGACCTGTGATCCCTCCGTGCTGGTCCCTCTTCAGGCCCAGATCCTCCTCCTCGTCCCTCCACAGCTGCAGCAGCAGTCTGGCCGCCGTCTGGCCGCCGCCATCCCTCCAGTCCAGGATGTGAGACACCGTGTTGGGGTTGTCGCACAGCTCCAGCAGCGTGGCCAGGACGATGCCGTGGACGCATCTGGGGCTCGACTGAGGAAGAAACAGCTTCATTTAGGCGCCAAAGGACACGCGACACCTTCCACAGTAACGGGAGGAAACAGCTTCTTACAGCAAGTAGGTCGAGCAGAAGAAACACTCCGTCTTGAGCCAGAAAGTAATCTTCTGTGGTGTAGCAGCCAATGATGCAGGACCTGGAGGGAAAAAGAGCAAACTGAGGGAAACCTCCTCAGCTGTGGAGAATCAGGGACCTTTTCTGTCTGATGCTTCTTAAGTGCAAAAATGTCTTATGAAAACAATGATGGCCTTAACTGAGGTCCAAAAGCTCCCTGAGATCAAACTATGTGAGTAAAAATGTAAATCGTAGTGCATTTCTTATCTTTACTTGTTCATCTGATAGAGGTATACTGTACATTCCTCAAGATTTCTCACGATTACCATCAAATGTGAGAAAATTATCAACATTTTTAACCCTTGTACTACAAAACAGGCTGTATCGGTCAATAAAACTCAACCTGCTGCTATTTTTTTTACAAGGCTGTTAATTTACTGAAGAACTTTTCTGCTGCTACACTGTTAAAAATAATTCTGGATAATAACGGTGAAAATCTGGCATCAATGGTGTCGGATGAAACACATTTAAAAACAGTGGAATACTGCACAAAATGTAAGAATAAATAAAGTATAAATGTATTTTTAGTTGACTTAGATACAGTAACTTGTGTGTAATTTTTTTTATTAATTATAATATTATGGTCACACTTTGTAAAAGAACAAATTATTATTTGTAAAAATGCTAATTGTTGAGCCAGACATTAAGTGCAATTTTTAATTTTTACAGTGAATGATTGATGTTTTTACTGGATATTATCTGTAATTTAATTTTTTTTAAAAATAGGGAAAAACTTTTTATACAAGCATTCAAAAATTGTTTACTATTTTTCAATCCCTAATATACATATTTTTTTTCTTTTACATGACGGCAGATATCTGTAAATTTTTAATTTTTTTTTCTGATATCGACATCAGTGTGCCTCAGGTTAGATTTATAGGGTCAGACATAAAACTGATCTGAATGTGACAAGCATAAATGATCGTAATATTCATAATAATGTATAAAATTAACCAGAGGAGCCTCCCAGTTAATCTGTCGGAGGTTTAGGTGAACTGACCTCACGCAGTCGACTGTGGAGAGGACGAGCTTGTTGTGTCCTAAACCGCTGTAGAATTTATCGCAGCCTTTTTTCAGGAAGTTAATCGTCATCTCAACTCCCTCTGAACCAAACAGTTCCTGGAACACAACATGAAAGAAATAAAAAACACATTTACTAAACAAAACATTAAATTATTAACAATCTTAAAGCCATTTATTTAGGTTTTTTTTTTTCTCTCTTTTCTACGCAGGTATATGAAGACACTGTAATATAATTGTATACAGCTTCTGGTCTGTATGGAGTAGTGAGAGCGCCAAATTACAAAAATAAATCAATAAAAGAACAATAAAATAAAAGTGGAAATAAAAAGAAGAATAAATAAAATAAAAAATAAATAACGTGGCAATATAAAGCAATGTTAATCAAAAATGAATCCATGAAAGAAAAGGCTAATAAAAGTAGAAATATAAAGACAAATAAATATATTCATAAAAATAGGAATGATTTATTTTTTTAATTTTTCTATTTATAAAAAAAAGATGCTATAAAGATGCTACATTCAAATGGAATAATCAACTGAGACAACCAGCTATCATGGTCATCCCCATTATGTAAAAGAAGCTACAAAGAAATTAGAAATTAAACATATTCTTAGTTCTCTCATAAGTAAGTCTGTAGTTCAGCGATGCTTTCATCAGGTTTGTGATCTCAGCTTCACCTTTCTGTGCATGTCGGTCTCACACAGCGCTGAGATGATCAGCTGAAGATCTGACTTCATCTCCAGAGCGACAGCATCCTCCTCGTCTGGACTCGCATCCATCTGGATCAGAATCCCTGAGAAAACCGCCACAGTTTGGAATATATCAGCTGTGTTTATTGACAGGAAATGCTTTGCGTGAGTCCACTTTTGTTACCCAGAAGCTGGCCGATGGTTCCTTGGTCGCAGAGGTCCTGGTTCACAGATTCTTCTTCCAGAGACGTCACCGATCGCAGTACTCTGATGCAACGTCGCATCTGAGCCCTTTTGCTGCCTCGACCTCCAGTGCCGTGGAAGCTGTGACCCTGACTGAAGTAAGAATCTGAAGTAAAAAGGGAAAAATAACAAATATATTTACTGACTGTAAACAGCTCGGGCTTTTTACAGTTTTCCACCTAAACATTATAGAACATGACATGATGAGGTTTAAATTAAGTGTTCTTGACAGGGCTGAAAGTCACAGATGGAAAATAAACATCATTAGTTTGAATGTCAGACGTTATCATAGAAGAAAACATTTAAATCGGTCTGAGGGTCAGTTAATGTTGGAGCACCGACAGCTTTGAGAGCTTCAGTGTTAAGTTCAGTTCAATCATCAGTGTTTATGAAAAACATGAGAGCAGCTCAAGTGTTAAAGTGTCAGTTTACATCAAATAAAGTCAAGTCACTGTTATTTATTAAGCTCATTTCAAACAACAAACATTGGCCTAATCTGCTTCCCAGACCGGCATTAGAAATTTATCAAGCAAGTTTAAGTTTTAAGGTTAATTAAATGACAACAATAACGGAGAGAGACCATAGAGTGACTCAGGGTTTGGCTTGAGTAAAGATTATAAATTGTAGAAAATATCGAGGCAGAGTCTGTGTCATCACCCATTGGTTTCCATTGTGAAAACTCCAGTTTAAACTCTGGCTCCCACCATGTTGGAGTTTTTAAACCAGATGTGATGAGTGAGGAATGGATCCTGTCAATCACAAAGTAGCCCTTCCCTCAGCATACCCTGTTTTATCTTTTACGACATTAAATAGGAATAAAATCTACAAAAGTAACATCACGTTGTATTGCCAGCTCAGTCTTTAAACTAATGATTGAGACCATAAACTCATTCGGAAAGTGTTAAGTGAGGTGACAGATTTAGCAACAAGTAGGTTCATTTTCTCATAAACGTCTATTTAATCTGACTTCCAGTAGAGTCGCCACCTGCTGGCTGTTGGAAATAATGCAGGATTTAAACACTTCACATTGGTTTCAGCTTTCAGAACCAGAGGTTTCTACCATCTTTTACAGTCTGTGGATAAAACACATGAATGTTTCTGTTTGACTTTTTGATAAACAACACAGTGTTTTCCCGTTTCCTGACCTGGTCCGACACACCAGTCCAGCAGCAGCAGCAGACAGGCGTTTCCCTGACAGGACATGTAGTCGTCCAGCATGAGCGGCGCGATGGTGGCCAGCGTGGCTAGCGCCTGCAGCTGCAGCTCCTCCTGCTGGACGGCCGACCAGCGACGTGAACCTGACCGACGCTCAGACGAAGCAGCAGGAGGCTTTATGAGAATCAGCAGAGCCAACATGACTCGCTCTTCTTTATACAGCTACGAGAAGAAAATCCACAATTAACACTCACGCTGTTTAAATATTAACAAATGCACAGAGAGAGAGTGTCGCCAACCTGCAGGGCTGCTGAGTCCTTTGACATCAAAACCAGCAGATTCAACAGCAGCTTCTTCATTTTCAAGTCTTCGTTGCTGTAGCTGAGCTTCAGGTTGTGGATCAAAGGGATGTGGGTTTTCACTGGAACACAAACGAAGCAGTTTTGCTGTCAGGAAAGGTGCACATGAAAAATGGAATTGCAAAAATGGAAATTGATTTTTAAAAAAGTTGCCTCACGTTCCGCAAAAGTGGCGAAAAGCACAAGCTGTTTGGCAAATAAACTCTCCTGAAAGCCAGAAACATGATGTCAGACAACCTGTACCAAACACTGGGCTGCTATCTGGCTCAAAACATCAGTTTATTAGTTATTTATCTGTTCTTTACTCACAATGAGCAGAGAGTTTGGACTTTCAGCGATAAAAGATGTGATCACCAGCAGATCGTTTCTTAGTTGGAGGTCAAAATGTTGAGAAGTGTTCAGCAGCTGGTGACAAAATGCTTCTTTCAGAGATCTAAGACGCAAATGAAGAGAAGTATGACATCAAGCACAAATGTACTCAAATCTGGATGGTTCATGTGCTATGATCTCAGAAATGCTGATTCTGTTCTCATCAGCCACATTTCTCGTACACGACACACTCCATGCTGCAGAGCTGAGCGGTGACCTCCTCCATGTTGCATCTCTCCAGCAGGTTCCAGAGGATTTCAGACGAACGGAAAAGAACCTGACCGGACGGCTCTGGTTCGTTCATGTGGAGGCAAATCGTCTCCGCCCCTCTGGCGTTCAGTATTGAAGCACAGTTCATATCTGAAAGCGAAATGCAATCATGTAGATGTGATTGATAATAAAGCAACCCGCTGACCTGCTGACATTGACACAAGGACACTTAAAAATCATGTTTGTCTGATTGCTGTTTGGTGATTTGTGCTCTTGAGAGCTCTAATGAAGGAGGTCGTCTGCTGGATTGACATGTGTGACAGATGTGCTGCCTCCCTCTCTGAGCCCACAGTGGAATCAGCGACCTACCGGAGGTGCTGGAGAGGATCTGGAGAGTCTGCAGCAGCTGCAGCCTGATGTCCGGCTGGTTCTCCACAGCCGCCATGGAGAGCAGCAGCGCCTGAGGCAGGTCGCTGTGCTGCAGCAGCTGCAGCCGGTAGCCTGGAGAGGTCGGCTGGAGCCCTGCAGCCACACGGCACAAACATTAACAAACACAACAATAAACTGGTAGGTGTTAACAAAAAGAAGACGACAGAAGATAGAAACACACTGTAAAATTTACATTTTTAATTGTAGTTTTTTGAGCAATTTGCTGTTAGTTTACAAATTTCCCTGTTTTGTTAAATTACAGGTAATAACTCATAAAATCACAGAAACTGGATCAGTTTACATGTTAGGCTTTTAAAAAAAATTCTTTGCAAACATTTGATCATAAAATTACACTTTTTTTTTACTGTATTTAAATCAGCAAGATCTTTCTTTTATTTAAAGGAAAATGTATGTATATTAAAGGTTGAAAAATGATAAATAATTTTTCAACTGTTTTTTTCCAGTAAATTTTAGAAATTTTCCGTTACAATAAATTATAAATAGTATCTGGTCAAATCACAGAAAAAAAAAAATTTACAAGCTGACAGTAAAAAGACAAAACAAAACAAAAAAACCCCCAAAAAGGTCAAAACTGTAAATAATTTCCACATCACAAATCAGTTTTTTAGAAACAGTAATTATTTTGACAACATGGAACCATAAAGTTTTACTATATTTAAATCAACTAAAAATACCATTATTTTAGGTGTTTACCATTATTTTCAGTTTTTACATTTTTTGAATGTTACACTAGTCCATAATTTTTCTTGCACATTTGTTGCCAGACTTTTGTTGTTGTTGTTTTTACTGTTTTTTTTTTCCTCCAGTGTACTAACAGAAAGATAGAATTAACAAAAATAAGATATTTATAACTTTAAAGAATAGCTTATAACTAGTAAAATCCTGGAAAGAAAGCATTAATTTACACATTAGCCCTAAAATAGCATATAAATGTATGACGTAAAAAACATCCACATGCAAAATCTGTATTTTAATAAATGGTAGTTCATTCATTTACAATGCTTGATCAAAAAATGACACTTTTCCCCCCCATATTTAAAAATATCATTATTTACCAAATATTTGTCATTTTCTGAAAGAAAAATTATATATATAATTATTGTATATTACTATATATAAGGATTTAATAATAATCAAAATAAACTGTAATTCTAGAGACTTCCTTTGTTGTCAAGTTACAGGTAATTGCTAGTAGAAAAATTTAAAAAGTCAAAAAAAGTATTGCTGTTAACATGGAATTTGTAGTTTTTAAAAATTAAAGATAGCAAAGTAACTCCATAGCGATCGTGGTAAACCTTTAAAAAAATAATTTAATATTTTCTTGCTGGCATGATGACGTCTTAAAAGGCATTAAGTCCAAATCCCGGCTCTGATTAATAACTGTACAGCCTCACAGAGCAGCTGGCGTGGCTGCACATCTGCTATCCTGTACATGTGGGTTATATGTTGAATTTTAATACAGAAACAACAAAGAAAGCAAGAGAAAACACAGAAAAGATTAGAAAATAGGACAAAAGTACAAGCATGCCACCACAGAAGCCATGAGAGCGCCTCACTTAGTGACAGTCTAGAAAATCGGTAGTGAGAGGGGAAAGTCCGAGGCTTTGTCTTGACGGTTCGGTCCGTACCATCGAGCAGCTGTTTGGGAGCCACGCAGCTGTAGAAGGATTTCACACATTCGACTATGTGCTGCCTCACGTCAGCATCTGAAACCCTCATCAGACATCCTGCAGACAGAGTCACAGCCTTCAGTCGCTCATCAATAAAACTACTGTCTGAGGAACAAGAATATTACTGTACTCTGCTGGTCTGCAGCTGGAAATACCTCCAATAAATGCACTGTTTACTAATGTGAAATCCAAATGTTACAGTGCCCTGCTGCTTGAGGAAATCACTCAGAATTACAGACACTATATACTTTTTAGCTGTTTTTAAAGTTTTCCATCTTCAGAAAAATCCATTGGTTTTGATCACAAACAAGATTCATGTGGTTTAAATTATTATCAAAATATTTTCCAATTGTCTGTCAATTAACAAATTGTTTAATCAACTAAACATTTTAGCTGCACCCATATAAACTGTTGGGTCACAAAATGTATTACCAAAAATAACATTTTATTAGTTCTGCATATTTAATGGTACTATAAAGAAACCTGTAGTTAAAACTGCCCAAAAAATGAAATAAAAAGTACATTTCCCACCGAAATGTAGTATAGTGGAAGTACAAAGTGCCATGAAAAGAAAAAAACTCAAGTACAAGTACCGTAAAATTGGACATAAGTGCAGTAAAGTTATATTCTACAACAGCCAATATCATAATATATTCAAAGAATTGAAATCTGTGGCTATTAGAGGGTAAAAACCAGCTTTTAAAACGATCAGCTGCACCTATTTGTTCATGTGATGGCTAATAAAGCAGCTGTGAGAGTGTCCCGGTAATAACTGAGCTGTTTAATAAGTGAGCTGAGTACCGATGTGAGAGAGGAAGTCGATGACATCCTTAGCGTAGTTCAGCTCATCAGACGTTTTCTCCTTCAGGAAGGGAAGCCTGAGACAAAACAGAGCAACACTCTGATGATCCAACAAGCTGTTCACCTGTGAGAGTGAAATATCTGAGCTTCTGACCTGCAGACGTTCAGAGCTTCACACAGAACGGCTCCATATTCAGGATGATCATTTGCCTTCTCAGCGCAGATATTCAGGATTTTGGCGACGCCTTGCAGCTCCTTTAATCGCTTCGAATAGTTGAGGAAGGTTTTTTTTTTAAGTGATTTTTTTGGCCTTTGTGCCTTTATTGTGCAGTGGGAGAGAGACAGGAAAGTGGGGGGAGAAGAATGGGGGGAGGACGTGTGGGAAAGGGCCATGAGCGGGATTCAAACTCATAACCTCCACATCGGGACTGTAGCCCTGTACATGGGACGCCAGCTCAACCAGGTGAGCTATAGCGACCTAGCTGAAGAAGTTCTAACATTTTGCAGAAGTGTTTGCTCACTCAGAGGTAAACCCCTGACAGGGAGGTGAGGAGTCATCGTGATAACTGTGTGGCTATTTCTGAACAAGGAAAACGCTGACAGACACTCCGATGTGGAGCTAAATTAGAGCCTGGGGAACAGTGTTTGGCTTCGTGTTCAGGTTGCATGAGAGCAGGTCTATTTCCATCACTGCAACAGGGAGCATAATGAGGGAAAACCTGACAATCTGCTGCGGAGTGCAACAGCTGACAGAGAATCACGTGGAAATGACTCAAGGACAGAACATGACATACAGAAGAAAGGATACAAAGCCGATTTGGTTTCTCTTCAGCAGTTTCTTCAAGACAAACAGGTGTCTCTCCTTTAGGTTAGCCTGCAGGAAAAACACAATGGTTACATCACATATAGCATAAATAAAAATAGAAGAGATTAGTGATATTTAAGTTTAACCTACTGTCAGAGGATCTTCAAGAAGACGAATCACTTTACTGAGTTCAAGACTTTTAGCACTGACCTGTGGAGAAAATACAGTTTAGGTCAAAGTTTACACTGTCAAAGAACAACTATTATTGCATTTTCTTATCAATTAGCTGTTAATCCTCTAAAGAAAATACAGAACATTCTGCATGCAATATTGATTTCCACATCTCCCAAGTCCTTCTGTGAGTTATTAGCCTCTAACTGCTCTTAATGATTAAAAAAAAAAAGAAAAAAGGTTGAGGTCAACTACTTTCTGGAAAAAGATTGTTTTATAATATTTAGTTGAGTTAAATGTGTTTTCAGGCTCCTCGTCCACTACAGGAGTTAGATGCAGAATATAAACCATTCAAATGTCATTCAGATCCAACATTATCTAACACCTTTAGCAGTTTATGGGATCAAAACTTCCCACTCAGGTTAAATTTGGTGAATTCATGTAATATTTGAAATGATTCACTGAACTTTGTAAACAGAAAAACAACATTTTTACACACTAAATGAATGGATATGAAAAAAACATAACTGGCCTTAACAATATTATTAACAGTGTACAGGTATTCATGTGAAATACAGAGTTTATAATGAATAATCTGACAAATCAGCGTAGCTGAATTAACACCCTGCAGGCACCTTGTTCAAAAATACTCCTTGGGTTCCTGCTGATCCTCCTCCTTCCGACTCCCAGCGCACCATGAATGTTCCCTCTAACTACACATCTAATACAGAGCACACAGCTGACTGACATGGCAACTTAAATATGTGCTGCTGGAGCTCCTTGAACAAACCAACACTGAGGTATCACCGGGCAAAGATGCGACAAACAGAAGATGTAGGCCAACAAATAGATAAAAACTGGCAATAAAAATGTTTAAAAGCATCAAAATCACATGCTGACATGCGGCCCCTCCATGATATTAATGAGCACAGATCCATATTGAATTTTAGGGCTTACGTGTAATCAGTCAGTCAGATGTTGTCTGTACAGCACAACAATAAAAACAGAGCTTTACAGAACAAAAACAGAAACGTTTCTCCAAATCAGAACTGAAGTGCTTCTAAAATGAAAATGAAGTGTTCCTAGAAGTGTTTCTAAATTGAAAATTATGTGTTTCCAAAAGTGCTCCTAAATTAAACAAGTCCTCAGTGGCAACAGAAATATCATTCAACAGCCTCGGTAAACAATATTAACTGTATTCTGTTCAGCTGTAGAACATTTAATGGGTTTCTAGTTATAAGAACCTGTAAATCAGAGGCTATTCTGTCCATGCACTCTTTACTCTTCCAGTAATTAGAATATTAAATAAATAGCCTAAGAGAAAACTAATTGAGAAATGAAACTAACCATCCAAAATTACTGCAAAGGACTGAATGTCCAAAGTGACCGCCAACTTTTTCCACTTAGAAAGCATTTATTCATCAAAATAAAAGCGTTTCTACAAGGGTTTCTAAAATAAATTTAGCACTTCTGTTCATATACAAAGCCAATGCCAACATAATTTACCAGCATCAGTAAACAAATAAGAACTGTTTTATGTTCAGTTGATGGTTTCTTAAAGACCTGCAAATATGAAGTTTTTACATTCGTGCCCTCTTTATATTTACTCTCCCAGAGATCACGAATTTTAGCAACAAAATGAAAAAAGAAATACTGAATTTTAGTGGTGCACATTTGTAAATACATTTAGCCAAATTATTACAAAGCAACTGACCACTTCTGCCAGTTAAAACTCATTCTTTAGGTGTTTCTAAATTGAAATGATCACTGTTGTTCATATACAGTGAAAAAAAAATTACCAGCATTAAACAGCATGAGTCAACATTAATAACTGCTTTATGTTCAGTTGTTGTTGATGTATTGCCATAAGAACCTGTAAATCAGAGATTGCTGTATGTTTACACTCTCAGGGATAAAATGAAATAACGGTTTACCTCCTGGCTCTTCTGTGATCCTCTCAGTCCGATCACAGGAATCTCCGGCTTTCTTCTGTGCATAACTTTGCCTGAATCCATTTCTAATTCTTTATTATTATTATTTATCTATTGTACGTGGGTCAGATTCTTAATTCAGCCACAAAAATAAAGATGAACATCACCGGTTCACTGTTTTGTTTTTGGGTTTTTTTGCATCACGACATACTTTGCTTCAGCTAAACACAGTTTCAAACACTAAAAACAGACTCTTTAAAGATTAACTGGGGTATTTGTTTGCCAAAAACACAGAGATAACACTAACTGGAGCTTAACCTGAACCCGACCTGTTATTTTCGTTCTTCAATCTCCGGTAAAAATCACAAATAATTCTCCAACGTCTCCCTCCGCTCCGTTTATGTAGCCCGAGTCTGGCAGCGTACTGCTGTTGCTATGGTTACAGTGTAGTACGGCGAGCCACGGAGCTCAAAAATGATCCAATAACGAATCGCGTTTTTCCTCTTTAAATCAGGAAGCTGTGTTGTGGTGACAGCAGCGCGATGATTTCTCCTCCACAAAAACACCAGGAGGACGAATTGCAACGTTAGAACAAACCAAAACCGCCTGGGAAGCTCGCACAAACCTCCCGGGTCGGAGAAGCACCGCAGGCGGCCATGCTGTCGGACGCAGGTCGGTGTTAGCTCGCTGCTGCTACATGCTAAAGTGACAGGCTGACGTTGTTTGGTGTACGGAGCAGCTAACGTGAACATGTGTGGCTCCTTTGTTGTGTTTACAAACCTGTTCGCGGTGTGTGCAGTCCACCTGTGCTGAGCTGAGTCCCTCTGTCTTATAGAGCTTTGTCAGTAACTGCAGGGGCCTAATGTGGAGCAGGGCTGCTCTGAATTAGCTGCTATAGATGTCGTTGTTGTTGTTGTTGTTCAGATTACCCCGGGAATCCCTCTGGAGCCCGGAGAGCCAAGAAGAGGAGCTCCGGGGAGTCACCGGGGGACGGACAGACCCTCCGCTCCTCTGGACGGCAGATAAACGTCCGGGTGAAGCGCACCAACAACCCTCCACCTGGACAGGTGAGCTGCACCGTTTTCAGGACCACATTTCTGGGACCCTCGTATACTGCAAAGGACAGCTGGATTTTCTGGTCCACAGACATCAGCAAAAACATGAACTATACACAGTTTTGAGTGGGATGAACCTTTAAACACAGAACTTAGTTACAGAGTACCTTCTGGGTGGGAAAAACCTTTAAAACTAAATCTATCTGGACAGAAAGTAGTGTTTTAGTTGCAATAAACCTGTAATTCTAAATGTATGTGGACAGATAGTGTTTTATGTGTAATAAACCTTTATAACTAAATCTATCTGGACAGAAAGTAGTGTTTTAGTTGCAATACACCTGTAATTCTAAATGTATGTGGACAGATAGTAGTGTTTTATGTGTAGTAAACCTTTATAACTATATGTATCTGGACAAAAAGTCATAATTTAGGTGGAATAAACTTTTAAAACTGTATGTATGTGGACAAAAAGTCATATTCTAAGTGGAAAAAACCTTTAAGCCATGATGTGTTTGCTAGAAAGTACAATGGGGGGGACTAAAAATCATGCTATGCTCTTAAGAGTCACATGCTCACGTTGTTTTTTTTCTATAATTTTCTGGCATTAAAAAAAAACAAAACTCATTGATTAACTGCAAAACTCATCACCAGATTAATTGAGAAGAGAAACAGTAGTTAGCTGCAGATCTGTTAGAAGCATCACAGACAAAGACGGTGTTTGTTGTGGGTTTGCCAGGTCAAGGTTTTTTTTTTTGGTGATGACACTCTTCTCTGGATTTCAGAGCAAAAGAAAAGCCACAGACACCGAGGAGGAAGATGACCAGTCGGAGAAGAAGTACAGAAAATGTGAGAAGGCTGGATGCTCGGCCATGTACCCCGTTTGTTTTGCAAGTGCATCTGAAAGGTGCAGAAACCGTCTCTGAAATCACTCGATTTTAGATTCAGAAATAGACTCTCATTAACAGCGGTTCTTCTGCGTCCTCTCAGGTGCGCTAAAAATGGATACACGTCGCGCTGGTATCACCTGTCCTGTGGAGAGCATTTCTGCAACGAGTGCTTCGATCACTACTACAGAAGGTAAAAGAAACGCTGACAGAAGAACCGAGAGCTTCACTGTGTTTAAATGTGTCTAGATTAGGTCATTTTTGTATTTTTGCAAAGTTCTGCTTAGAAAAGGAACATTTTATGACATCTCTAACAATCTAACAGCTTTCTTTTGTCAGATAATAACAGAATTACAATATGTGGCTTTACTTTTTCCTCCATGTCAGTCACAAAGATGGCTACGAGACCTTTGCTTCCTGGAAGAAGGTTTGGACGAGTAACGGCAAGAGTGAGCCCAGCCTTAAAGCTTTCATGGCAGATCAGCAGCTTCCGTTCTGGGTATGTGCAAGGAGTCGTCTTGTATAGATTTAATTATTTTCTGTTGTACAAATGCAGTAATTTTTTTTTGTTTTGATGTGTTCAGGTTCAGTGCACCAAACCGGACTGCAGGAAGTGGCGTCAGCTGACCAAAGAGATCCAGCTCACCGCTTCGCTCGCAGCTTCGTACCGCTGCGGGATGAAGTTCAACAACATCAAGGTTAGTGGGGGAAATAGAAAGTAGAAAAATCAGCCATACATGAAGCCATTTTCCTTTTTTTGTGAGTGAAATCTTGTTTTGTGCAGAGCGAGGGACCTGACCAGTGCTCTCAGCCAGAGGACCTGGTGAGTTATCAATCAGTGGATCAGTGCATTTCTGTTTTGTGCTATATTGAGATTTTAGATATGCAAATCATTTAGCACGCTGTAGATTTGTTTGGCATTATAGATTTTTTATTTTTTTTTTATTTTTGTGGAGCCTTTAGCAATAAAACCAGAGAAACAACATAGCAACTGATCATTTTAGCTACTTTTATTTACTGTTTGTTGTGAAGGCAAGTCTTATGTATTTACTCATTCATTCGTTGGTTCGTTCATTCATATATTTATGAAAAGATACAGGACTGATGTCTCAATTGTACCCAAAAAGTTTTATTTATTCTACAGCTTTACCTGGCTTATTTATATATTGAGATTAGGACCCTACAATATTATTTATGATGTACATTTACCTGAATAGCTTAAATATTAATGTTTTACAGGAAAGAGTTTTATAATGAACACGTCCAAATGTTTATTTCTATGCATGTGTTGTATGTATTTCGGAGACTGTTCCATACATTTGTATATATTTTTTCTGATTTTATTATACTCAGATTTTAGATATGTACGTCATTTTGCTTTTGTTATTATTATTATTATTATTATAGATTTTCTACATTTTTGCACACTGCACATCTTCTATACTGTATATTTTGCACATTACATATTACAAATATTTTTCTTACCTCATCCCATCCATCTATTTGTTTTTCCTACAATATTAAATCAGACAGTGTGCAAACAGTATCAGTTATTTCCAAAATGACTGAAAGAAACTGTGATGATTCCCTCAGAGAGTAGCCGAGGTCACCGACAGCTGGTGGCACTCGATGCTGATTTTACCGCCGCTGTTCAAAGAAAGCCCGGCCAGCCCTTTCCTCGCCGCCTACTACCCCGACTGTGTGGGGATGAGTCCGTCTGGTTCCTCCATGTCTCAGACCGAGCTGAGGGCGGATCACTGCAGAACTGTCCAGCCGCAAAGTGAGTCTGAGAGTGCAGGAGCCACGTGGAGGTTTCAGTACGAACCACCGTAATATGAGGTGATAATCATGTTTGTGTCCGTCAGTTCCAGGCCTGTGTCCGTACTTCCAGCCCTTCTACCAGCCTAATGAGTGCGGCAAGGCGCTGTGCGTGCGGCCAGATATGATGGAGCTGGATGAGCTTTACGAGTTTCCTGAGTTTTCTCGAGATCCCACCATGTATCTGGCTCTGCGTAACCTTATCCTGGCCTCCTGGCACAAAAACTGTAAGGTACACAGACTCTTTAACCTTTTCTGGCAGTTTCTGGGCATTTTTTTTGTTCCTGTCACACTTTTCCTCAGAGTTCTGCATCTCTATGCAAACAGCACAACCATGAAGAAGGAGAGAGAACTCAGAAATGATTTCTGCACTCTGCAACAAAGTTGTAACAAAGTTGGAATGTCATAAATCATAAAAAAGGAAAAAACAAAAGTTGAATTTCTTTGATTGTTTGTTTTGCAAAAAATTTTAAAAAGCTAGAATCAACATGTTTGATGTCCTACTTCGTGCTCACAGGTGTTGCTAATAATGGAAAAAGAAACAGTGACTCTTCATGCTATAGATATTTTACAACTTACATTTTAAAAAAGTTTCCTTACTTGTCTCCTTTCTGCTCTGTGTAAACACTGCCTGCGGTTCAGGCAAAAAGATTTTTTTGTTATGTGGCTGTTGGTCACAGCTGATTCATTCATGGCTTCTCAGTTGTGCCAAGGAACACAGAATTTTTTGTTTTTCACAGAATCTTCTTAGTACAAACAGGCTTTTTTTAAATGAAACATGTAGAACAAAGTGATTTCGATAAAATATCACAATTTTGTCATAGATTGGGTCAAGTTTTCCTGACAGAACTGCACATCGCAGATCACCTGAAACTTCAAAAGCTACAGATTTCTTTGTGTTTTTACAGTTTCTGACTCTGATAAATGGTGTCATTTGGGTGATTTTTCAGCAATAACATGCTTTGCAAAGCTGGTTTTAGGGTTCAGAGGGTTATTAACTAATATCTGGGTGTGTTCGTCTACTTCCAATATTGCACCTTCTCCTCCTGGACAAACAAATTCTCCAAAAACAGCAAAACATCAAAACAATTAGAATGTTTTTTCCCCTGTTTTTTTCAAAAAGGAGGTGCTGACTGCCCAGAAATGCGCTCTGCACATCATTGTTCGGGGGTTGGTTCGAGTTCGCTGCGTGCAGGAGATGGACCGAGTGCTACACTTCATGACCAGGAAGGGCCTCATCAACACGGGCGTGCTGGCAGTGAAACGGCCTCTGCTGCCTGAACGGTATCGCTCTGTGAGTGTCCGTCTGCAACTCGTCATCATGCAACACCTCAATACGTCTATTAAACTTTTTTTATTTATCATTCGTTTGGTTGTGAGAGACAGTAGTGGCTCAACAGTTGAGGGCTCGAGGTGACTGATCAGAAGGTTTGGGGTTCGCTGCCAAGTCTTTCCAGATCAGATTTTTCAAACACATTCTGCTCGACCATCTCTGATTTGCCTGAAACTTTTATAGCGTAAACTGTTGATATTTATAAAGATATCTGTGAAATAGTAGCTTCATATATAAATGTTTTGAGTTGTTTTTTTTGTTTTTTTTAAATTGATGGTCGACCAACTCCTCGTAGCAATTTTTATGCATTGAAATTTAAAGGTGTGTTTTAATGACAATATCTCAGGAACTATAAAAGATAAAAACACAAAATCTTCACTGTTATTTCCCATCATGACACTGATTTGGAATCTGCAATATTGAACAAGTACCTCAAATATTCTCTGATTATGGGTGAGTTGTATTTAAACTGGGATAGACAAAAAAAAAAAAGGAGACCAAATTTCCTGGTGCTGCGACACCTTTGTGACAAAACATGGTTATTCTTCTTCCCATTGCGGCTCATTTCTTCCATTCATTATCTCTGTAAGCAGCAAAGAATCCTGTTGGTGCTGTGTTGTGTTTTGAAAGATGGGGCTTCCTCTCGTTGCTCCCATTTACATAACGTTTAGATCTGGGCTACTTTATGCAAATTAGGGACACACAGCACAACTCACTGCCTCCGGAAACTCCTTCCAAAACACTTTAAACTAACTGCTGTTGACATAAAATGAAGACTGATTTAGCAGCTGCACGGCTTAACTTTCACCTCAAATATTTTCAAAAACACATTTTAATGAGCTGGTTTCATAAGAGAAAGTTTCCAACAGAGTTTGTAAATCCACAGCCCGCGACTGACAGCATTCCTCCCATCAGTTGCAGTCAGTGTTTGTGTGGACAAAGCAGGGTGTAGCCTGTGTTGTCTTTGTTGCCTCGGGGTGTGCACTTTATTGCCATTTGATGCTGGAAAGTGATGCAACCCCCCATGGACGTGTAGTAACTCCTACATTTTTATCACTTTATGCAGAAGAACGTTATCGTCATCGGTGCCGGGGCGTCGGGACTCGCTGCAGCACGACAGCTGCAGAACTTTGGCACTCAGGTAAAGATCCATAATTCCCCTCTATCCCTGCCTCGGGTTTCATCCTGCTTTCTCTCTTTCACAGCGTTGTGTTTGCTCTCCTCGTTCCTGTTGGTTTACAGGTGGCGGTGCTTGAGGCGAGGGACAGGATCGGCGGTCGGGTTTGGGATGACACTTCTCTGGGCGTCACTGTGGGTCGGGGAGCTCAAATCGTCAACGGCTGTGTGAATAATCCCATCGCCCTGATGTGTGAACAGGTGAGGATCCACCTGCTCAAACACCATCTCTGGGTGGTTTTGCACATTTTTCCTCACTTTAGGCTCATTTTTTTTTACTGCAATGAAAAGTCCTGCACCTCAATGGAAACAGAACAACCATGAAGAAGGAGAGAAGAACTCAGATATATCTTCTGTGCAGGTTGATGTAGTTATAATGCCATAAATTACAAAAGAAAATGTAAATTTTTTATTAGATTTTTTACCAAAAAAATAAATAAAAAATTAGAATCAGCATGTAAAACATTTTTACAAGTGTCCACAGGTGCTACCAACCCTGGAAATAAACTGTGACACAACATACCATAAATACCTACATTTTAATTAGTCTTTTTTGTTTCCATACATATCTCCTCTGCTCTGTGTAAACGCAGCCTTCAGTTCATTCAACTAGAATTTTTGTCACATGATTCTTGGTCACAGCTTAAAGTTTTACATTTTCACTTTAGAGCACAGAATTATTTATTTTATTTTATTTTATTTTTTTTACAGAATCTTGTTCATGCAAATTATGTGATTTCTGCACATTTTAAAATGAGAAATGTAGAACAAAGTGATTTTAATGAAATATAATTTTAAGATTTAGTCAAGTTTTACTGACAAAACCACAGAACCTCGAAGATCCAGTAAATCTTCATGTTTTTTCCAGTTACAACTTTGATAAATAGTATTACTTATGGGGATTTGTCATTTTTCATTACAAAAACAACATGCCTTCTAAAACCGCGGTGTTACAAATATTGGAAACAATGTTGGCTCCACATACTATAGATATCGGACTATTATTATTTTAAACTGGTTTTCATACTTTTCTCCTCTTTGTTTCTCTGTAAACACAGCCTGTAGTTTTACATTTACTTTTACATTTGCACCGAGGAGCGCAGAATTTTTTGTTTTTTACAGAATCTGGTTGTTTTTTTTGTTTGTTTTTTATGACAAATATTTGAATGAGACACTTAGAATAAAGCTTAGATTGCGTCGGTTTTCCCCACAGAAGCGTACATCACACACAACAAGTTCAAAGACC